CGAGGTAAGGCCCAATAAAATTCCACCACGCCGGGTCGTATGCGTAAGGTACGTAGAAATCCTTACGTAAGTGTAGCATCTCTCAATTATTAAAGCATGCCGTTTGCGATACATAAAATACTTAATCGGGGCTGCTCCCGTGTAAGGAGCGCCCAGGTTGAGGCTGGCAGGAAAAATCGAAAAACGGGTTCGTACATGAACGCACACCTTGTACAAGCTACCAAGTTATCAAGGCATCAACAAGCATTCAACAATGGAGAATCCAACAGTGTAGAATGTATGGTGTTTCAAAAGAATCTTAATCATAAATGAATTTGGCTAAGTTAAGCTGTTGTGACTATACATCTAAAGTGCTACAAAATGAAGCGTACATACACTTGGAATCACATCAGTTAATCAAAGGCATATGATGCGGTTGGCAGAGAAGCCACGCCCACAACCAGCACGACTAATTATGCACGACCGAGGGACCCTCAGACCTTCTGCCCACGAAAGCTCTGTGCCCAGCCCCCAACCTGTGCTCCGTCTTCTTCAACCTGGCAATGGGAATCAACCTTTGCGGCGGTGAAGGTGATGCCGATTTTGATCTCGCCGTGGTACGAGTTGTCGGCGGTGACCACCCTGTACTTGGCCGGGTTCAGCCGCGACGCGCCGCTCTCCATGCCCATGCTGATCAGATCAGTCACATTGATCCTGCATCACACAGATATATTCAGTAATTTGATCCAGATCTTGCTTTCGTCTTTGATTTGCCACTTCAATTCAATTAGCTGCTGAAGTGCTGATGCTTGGCAGCTGGGAGTAGGAGTTTACTCACGTTGCTTGGCCGATGAAGTCGTCGCTTGAGAAGTTGTCGTGGTCCATGATCCGGAGGACGAGCTTATCCTGCACGTTGGCCGCGGAGGAGTTGATCTGGAATCTCAACATCTCGTTCCAGCTCGGGTTCCTCCCCGCATCTGCATTAGGCTTTGTTCGGTTAATCCTCTCCCCAAAAGGATTGGAGGGGATTGGCAAGGATTGGTTCATATTTTGACTTAGAAGAGGTTTAAATCCCCCTCAAACCCCTTCAATCCACTCGGATTCACCCGCAACCGAACAAGGCCTTACAGAACGCGACTGTTTCGGTCAGCAAAAATATACTTTCGTGGAGCAGGGTAGAGACGAGGAAGAGGAACCAAGAAAACAGAGCTGTGTGGAAGGGAAGCAGGGACTGGCCTCGGGCGGTGCTGCTCTTGCGCTCCTGGCTCCGATACTGCACCACCACATACGGATCGATCTTCCCTGCACATAACATGGCAAGCACAAAACTCAATCTCCGTCCACAACCGAACACAGAACGGAGCAAATCGAAGCCAAGAACACCCGTGCAGTAGAGTACTCTACTCACCGAGGGAATCGCTGCCGGAGAGGTCCTTGGCGTGGACCAGATGCACCTCGAGGAGACCGCGCGCCATTGTATTGCTCACTCGTTCTCGCCGGAAAGCTAACCAACACTCGATCCTCTCCCACGGCC